CTCCACCTCATCAGTAATAAGCTACTCTAGAGTTTACCCAGATGTTCAGCTGATTGCCTCCAAGGGAAAACATGATTGTGTGGGAAGTGCTGAATCTAGAATAATGATGACCTGTGATGATCTGCATTCCATTTATTGAAGATCCATCAACAAATACTACATTATGCAAGGAAAATCGAGAGAAATATACAAACTTGAAAAAGAGGCTATAGGATTTGACATTGAAATTGAAGATGATTATCAAGAGTGGCTTAGCCTGTTGGAAACTGATAGTGAACATCAAGATATAGGGAATGAGATCAGTAGGGATAATTACAAATCTGGAAGCATAACTCAAGGGAATTATAAGGAGCTGACACTAGAAGATGATAGTTTGCTTATGAACCAAATGGATGATTGCATCAAATGGAACCTGGGGATGACAGTTATATCTAGCAAAATGGATTGGATTTCATCGAAAAGCTGGAGATATTCAAATTTCAAAGTAGATCATATTCTGCCTATGGTAACAAACTGAAAACAACGTATAGAAACTCTTTCCATCTTGTAATGTGTGATACATGATTTTTTGCATATGTTAGACCCAAAGTGAACTTGTTTTTTATGACAGAGGCAAACATATTTGTTGATGCTGTTTTTGAGTGTCTTAGTTGGAGAAGGTTGGTGTGAGATTGTTGAGGATTATATAGCATAAACCTGTAGCCAGAAAACACAGTTAGGGGCCGCCAAAGTTGTTTCTCCAAGGCGCACTCCAACGCTCAAGTTAGTTGAATACAGGAGGGAAAGTAAAAAAAAAAAAAAAGATGTGTGAAGGAAGCTTCAATGGAGGGAAAGTGCTTAGGGATGAAGGATGCTCTCTCTTATGTATTTGGGCTTCCTTTTACCTTATATATGAGATCATGGATAGTGACCTAATTGGGATAGTTGATAATTGATAAGATATATATATATATATATATATATGTATGTGAGCTCAAGAAGAGTCCATGTAAGTAGCTATAAATCGCATTTAATGATTCAAAATAGACGTGAACTGTATTTAATGATTTTAAGCAAATTGAAAGCTAAGTATTTAGTTTAGAAGTAATGTCTTGACGGGAGGCTAGTAGAATGTTGGGTGAGTCTTTCCTTTGGCAAAGGGTGAACTATTTTCTCGGGTGCAGATGACGTGGTAATCTGGCCATGTCTTATCTAAGCGATCCCAGGGTTTGACCGTGTTGACCAAGCTTTGATCGAGTTGGCCGTTGACTAGGTAGTTAGGCATAACAAAAAGTAAATACAAACACTAAAAAATACTTTACAAATGTAAAAGGCCTGGTGGTGGTTAGATGTAGTATTTCTTTAAGTGAATAGCATTCCAAGTCCTTGGTATGAGGTTGCCAACCGTGTCCTCCAACCTGTAAGCTCCAAATCCAATAACAATAGCAATTTTGTATGGCCCTTTCCAATTGGGTGATAGTATCTTCCTTTCTTTTGCTTGTTTGCTAGTTTCACAGTTTTTTAGTAGTACTAGGTCACCCATTTGGAAGTGTCTATACTTTACGTGAGGGTTGTAATATTTGGTAACCTGTTGTGCTCTTGTAGCCATTTTGACTTGAACTAAGTCTCTAGTTTTTTTGTAATAGATCTAAGTTAGCCTTTAGAGCTTCTTCATTTTGATCGGGATCGAAATGTGTTGTTCTAAGTGTGTTGACGTCTATCTCAGTAGATATCACTGCTTCAGTGCCATAGGTTAGTGTGAATGGCATCTCCCCCATCGCTGAGTGGTCTATAATTCTAATTGCCCAAAATATACTGGGGCTCCTTTACCCATGCTTCCTTTACTTCATCTAGTTTCTTATTCAAGGAAGTTAAAATCTTCTAATTTATGGACTTAACTTGGCCATTTGTTTGAAGATAACCACGAAAATGTGAACCAACGCTATCATAAATATTTACAAAACTTTTCAGCTTTTAAACTGAAATTATGTCTCATTATCTTAATGGTTTAGGAGCAAAATACAACAATGTAATTAAAACAAAATTTTGAGTTTCACTAATGGGAATATAAGTTTACTTAATTTTAAAATAGTCAAACCAATCATAACTTTTTTAAGAATCCAAATCTCCAAGATACAATACACAGGGCAAGGGTATAAGCTAAAAGATAGATTGAACTGCTTTGTTAAAACTATTGGTGAAATTTAGCATTGTCACATTCAATAACCAATTCAACTCATTATTTTTCATTGTAGGCTAGTAGTAGCCTTAACGCTTTTTGGGCAAGTGCTCACTCGCTTACATAGTGACTACACATTCTTTCATGAATTTTTCTTCGTACATACTCTACTTCAAACGAGGATACACGCTTGAGGAGAGGAGCTGAAAAACCTTTCTTGTATAAAGTGTCTCCCACTAGTGCAAATTGTGCCACTCTCTTCGAGACTTTTTTACAATTTGCAAGGTTAAAAGGATGTTCCCTTTGAGATACGCCTTGATAGGAGTCATCCAAGTATCCTTTTCTTCTATACGTAGGACAGGTGGAGCTTGCAAGTACCAAGGTGTGGGCACAAACTCCAGCAAGATCTTCCCACGCTCCTTAATTTCAATAGAGGTTGCTAGTTTGGACAACGAGTCAACCTTGGTGTTGCTGGTACGAGAGACTTGCTCTAAGGTCATGGATGTAAAGGGTTAACTGAGCTGGTAGATGATGGCATGGTACTTGGTAAATGTGGGATCCTTAACTTCATATTCGCCATTTACTTGGCAGGCAACTAGTTGGGAATCTTTATATACAATTAAATTATTAACATTCAGATTGACTATCATTTCCAATCCTACAACTAAAGCCTCGTACTCAACTGCATTGTTGGAAATAGAAAAACCAAAGGATAGATCGTACTACCACTCTTGTCTTTGAAGGCTCAGTAATAATATTAATAGTTCATAATGAATTTTATAATGCAATAACAGTGAGAGTTTAGTTATTCTTTAAGCATGTCATTATTTTTTTCCTTTTTGCTAAATCAATTTTAATCAAATAGCTTTTTTATCTGATGCTAAGAAGCCAATTTATTTTGGATCGCTATAGCCCTGTAAGTTGGGAATATTTCTCTTTTAATTTTTTTTATATATTTGAAATTACTCGAATTTAAATCTTGAGTATTATAATTAAGATTTCAACACTCTATTAATGGATCAAACTATTAGTAATGATTAAATATTTACTAAAAGTTAGGAACCATTTGTCCATTTCCACTCAAATATAAATTTCTAGCTTTAGTTTAACAAAACAAAATTCTAGCTTTAGAGTATATTATATATATTTATATATATTTAATAATATTTGGTGCATAGGATGATGAATAAGATTGAATGAAAATTATTTTATATTATATTCAGTTTATATCTAATTAAAAGGATAAGATTATAAAGATGATTAATTATCTTCATAGTATAAAATGATTCAATCCTCTTAAAGTGAATATGATTATTTTTAATTTTTAAGATTAAATTTATATGTCTTATTATACCTTTAAAAATTACATCAATAATTTAAATCCTATAAAATTTGAGAAATGATAATTTTAACGAATAAATAAACTATTTTATCCTAATCTTTATACACATAAAATGTAAGATAAAATAATATTATTTAATCTAATTATATTCAAAATATTATCTTATCCTATTGTATTATAATCTTGTTTAACAAATTTTATCATTTGTATTAGATTGTTTTGTTTAAGAAAGAGAGAGAAAAAAAAAAAGAAAATTGACACTTAAGCATGAAGTATGCGCCAAGTTACTAATTATACACTTCATGAGGTCAAAACTAGTCAAGACTCAAGATTTACGTACGATCCAAGCTACATTCAAGTTCAACTATACGTCTATACCATATTGCATGTTGTTAAAACTCAAAATTGGGAGCACCAAGTATATATTTGATTTAATGACCATCTGTTTAAAGAGCAAGATTAAAATTTTTTAAAATAAAAAATAATTATATTCAAAATTAGTAAGTAAATAAGGCAAAATAGAACCAAAACTAAATCTCTAACTTGTCCACAATCGAGATGATCAAAATTTTCAAGAACCCCAAATTAAAAAAAAAATCTAAATTATTGGAACTTGAGATAATTTAAAATGAAAACAATTTGCATGCTAAATGTTTTAAATGTTAAATGATCCAAACTTGAGATCGACTTAATCAAAACTTACAATAATTTTAACTTGACGATATATTACAATAATAAAATTTGTAATTAAATTTTTTTACAAAATAAAAATTAATTATCAAATTTATTTTTACCTAAAAGTAAACTCTAAATAAATTAAATTTAAAATGATTGGAACTTATAAATGGCTCAAACTTAATATGATCAAAATTAGGTATGACAAAATAATTTGTACTTGACAAATTTTAATTTGTTTTGATTCGATAAAGATAATTCTTTTAAATTAAGGTTTGAATTCAACAAGAATGGGTAATTTTAAAAATCAAGATTGGATGAAGACAGATTTTAGAGGTTTTTGTCTTGATTTGATTTGAGATATATATATAAAATATATATTTTTTATTTTTAATTTAAATTTATATATATTATATATTAATAAAATTTTTATTTAATACATTAATTTAAGATATTAATTAATAAGAATACTACATTAGAATATAATTAAATAGTATTAAAAAATATTTTTATAAATATTATACCAAATTAAAGTTGTTAAATTAATTTCTAAATAAGATACGACTTGAATACAAATTATAAAAATGTGTTAGATAAAATTTAAATATAAAAAATAATAATCTAATATCAAATCTTGAATCAAAATTAAATAAAATATTTTAAAAATTAAAACAAGACGAAAAAAAATTCACTCTAACCCGTTCCCATCCCTAATCAAAACTCAATATGATCAGAAACTCGTCCTTTTCCCACCTCTACTGATATGAGCCGAGCTAGAATTAAGCCCATGAATTGCTTTATATTCTTTATATTCTTGTACTCCTCCGAATATTAAAATGTGGCAGTCAATTTCAAAATTTATAGCCCAACTATGACTGATCCACAATCCAAGACGGCAACTAATAGGCCTAAAGCCGACAACCATAATTGTTTTCTTCCTTTAATAACAAAAAAAACCAACCGTTTCTTCCCCTAGTCATCCCCAACCCCGCGGCCTCCAAGTCCCCTCTGGGTTGCAGCTGCGGCGAGAACAGTAGCAGTTGGTTCTTCATTTGCGTGTCAGCTTACTTCTTTTCTCAAGGTTAGTAGTTGCTTCTTCAGCGTAGTTTTTCTTCAATTGGTTGAAGAACCTGTTGTTGAAAATATTGAGTAAATTCTGGTTTCCAGTCCCTAAATTGTTTTATTCTATTAATAAAATTAAAATGGAAAAGGAAGAAAAAAAGTACAAAGTTTGAATTGGGATGAACAAGCCATTATAACCGCAGCCTTTTTTTTTTTTTGTCTTTTTCTCTTCTCTCCTATTAGGGTTTTTGAAGATTAAGATGGAGCAAGAGAATGTGGAACAAGAAGTGAATCTGCAACAGAAAAAGAAGCATAAAGGGAAACATGACAAGCCAAAGCCATGGGACGATGACCCAAACATCGACCGTTGGAAGATTGACAAGTTCGACCCTTCTTGGAATCCCAATGGTTTGCTCGAAGTCAGCTCTTTTTCTACTATCTTCCCTCGTTACCGAGGTGATAACTAACTTCCTTACTATTGTTCTTGTTTTATCTCTAGTTGAAAATTTTACTTCTGTTTAATCCCTTTTTCCCGTCTTAATTAAGAAAAATACTTGCAAGAAGCTTGGCCAAAGGTTAAATCTGCTTTGAAAGAATATGGTATTGCTGCTGAGCTCAACTTAGTAAGTATCGAATTCTATCAAATGTTTTAATGATTTATTCCAGTGATATTTTGTATTCTAGATTTTAGGTTGGTTAAAGTCAAACATTTTGCAACCTTCTAGACTGTAAAACTGGTTGGGTGAATTCATCCCTTGTTCGGATGTTCTAAAAATGTGAGTGGAAACAAACAAGTAGAATATAGCAAATTAGTGCTCGTCTTGTTTGTTTGAATAGTGGAAAGAAAGGAAAGAGATATAATTTAGTTAATGTCTTGAACAATTTTGCATTCAAAAGACATGCCATGCAAAAAAAAAAAGAAAAAGAAAAAAACAGTTCTGTAATTTCCAGTATATTAATATAATAAAAATTCATAAAACTGGTTAAATGTTTTAGAGGGATAACTTATTCATTACATCTTGTACCCTACAAGAAAAGGGACTACTCCTTTCACTTCATTTCATGTTCACCCATTCTTCTTGATGCAGACATACTCTGATGTCTTAAAGCCCCACCAATTGTTCCCTCTCTTGAGAAAGCTGTCAGAGTGATGTATCAACTGTCATTGAGTGATAATGTGATATAATTCCATATATGTATCAACTTTCATTCAGCGATAATATGATATAATTCCATATAAATAAGATTGCATTCTTCAATCATTGAAGGATCATCTTTCTTGAAAGACTTTGTAAACAATTTACTGCCAGAGGTTTTATTTTCCTTATTTCTTTAATCTTTTATATTGATTACTGGCACTGAACTATCTTTGTCTTTTTTTTTTTTTTTTAATCATCTGATGCATTTAATTGCTGATCAGGTTGAAGGGTCTATGACAGTTTCAACAACAAGAAAAACTAGGGACCCATATATTATTATCAAAGCCAGGGATCTCATCAAGCTTCTATCAAGAAGTGTTCCTGCACCTCAGGTTAGACTTGTTAACAAGTCTTGCACTTTTCATCAATTACAAAATAGTTAAATTCTTGCTTACTTCGCATGAGATTTTTCTACTGTTTCATTGGAATAGTTTTTGCTCAGTACTTAAAACCATACATACGAGGGTCGCTTTTCATGGTGCAGAATTGCTGAGTTCTTGAATTTAATAGTTGTTTGAATATAGTTCTTGCTATTTCTTTGAATGTCAGGCAATCAAAATACTCAATGATGAAATGCAATGTGACATTATCAAAATTGGAAACTTGGTGCGCAATAAGGTATGTTTCTCTTATATGTGTCTCTTAAATTTCTTTATTTATTTGTTAAAACATTAACCATTTTACTTTCTGAAATCTGGTAAGATGGTTGCTTTTGGCATGCAAGCGGATGCTTGAGAAGTTGGCTGGAATTTTCTAACTAGCTTTGAGTATTTCTGTCATTTTCACTTGTAGTTGAGCCTTCAATGGCTGCTCAATGGATCTTATATGTCTGCAACCACCTGAACTTCAAATTTTTAACATACATTCTTTTAGCGTTATGTAAGGCCAACTATGATGCGTCACACTAATAGGAAGATTTCTTGACAACATAATGCTCAATCAAATTTGGATCATAAAATCAGAGTGCCTTGATGGTTATTCTTGAAGCTAATTATGCACTAATATCTAGTCTGTAGTTATACTATTTTATTTTGATATGTTCTATATATCTTAATTAAATTGATGTATGACCATTTTTTGTGATGGATTTATCTTTTGATGGTTGTCTGGGCAATGCAAAACAGAGTACACTGTGTAGTTGTTATATTCTAATCATAAGATTATGATCTGAAAATTTTGTAATGTTTTCTATTCATCTTTGTTTCACCTACTCATTCAGCAGCCGTTACTGCATACACACATGCTTGTGTTAGGTATAAGTACATATATATGTGCCTTTTTGCTATCACCTGAACTGCATAGGTTCAATTAGATTATCTTTGATACAGCTACTTTGAATTGTTTGTTAGCAACTCGAAAGCTGAAACTGCTAACTATATTACATAGACTTTATTGTTAATTCATGCTGAACTTCTATGTCTCATTCAATCTAGCCTGTACATGAAAATTGCTGATAATTACCGAGACTGTTAGTTGCATAATTTTCTGAGGCTGTTTGTTCAAAGTGAATCTTTTTTAACTACTTATATGTTAGTGCTAAAGTCATTAGGAAAACTTATCTGAAAAGGCAATTTATTTGAACTTCATATTTGTGTTTCAATTTAGAAGTTGTTTCCTGCACCAAGGAGACTGTTTTTTGATCTTTTATTTTTTTTCTTTGTGTTTGTAAATCTATTTGTTATTTAGATGGATGGCAGGTATTACATTCTTGTGTTTCAATCTTGAGGCCCCTAAACGATCCTAAAAATGTATCCTGATTTTAACAACTTTGGTCTATCCAGAAATCCTTGAAAAATAATCAAATATTAAGAAATGTTTATAATGTCATTATGGTGTCTAAATATTTTCTTTTTACAGGAACGCTTTGTTAAAAGAAGGCAACGTCTTGTGGGGCCAAATTCTTCAACTTTGAAGGTGTGTATCCATTCTTAGATTGATGTCTTAAAAACCTTCTGAAATAATCCCTTGAAAGAAAGATGGCACTTATATGGAGGCATTAGCATATACTATGACTATGAGATGGTGTGTGGCAAGAAATTTCTGCAATTGTTTTCTGTCTTACTCCTCCCTTACATTACTGGATGCAGGCTCTTGAAATATTGACAGGCTGCTACATTCTTGTTCAGGTAATTGTCTCCTTGTTTTGGTTTTTAAATTGCATTTTTTGCCATATGTTGAAATGAAGAACTACTGGACCACAAACTGAGAACTTTTCCATTTTGCTCATGATGGAATAGGGAAACACTGTTGCTGCTATGGGTTCATTTAAAGGTTTAAAACAAGTTAGGAGGATTGTGGAGGACTGCATAGAAAATAAAATGCATCCCGTATACCATATCAAGGTGCCATAAACTTGACTTGCAATTTTGGTTTTACTGGTGTTGCTTTAAATTATGTCAGTATAGATGTGTTTTGAAATTCTATGAACATTCACTTCTGACTTCCATCTTCTTTCCTTTCCTGTCTTATTACATCTTCCTTTCCAAAATCTAGATTCTCATGATGAAGAAAGAACTTGAGAAGGATCCAGCACTTAAAGATGAAAACTGGGACAGGTTTCTTCCAAAGTTTAAGAAGTAAGATATCTATTCTGCTTATGCGTTTTTTAACATTTTAATTGATTTTCTTGCTCTGTTCTTTTACATGTCCATTTAACTAACAAAAAACATTTCCAGGAAAAATGTTCAAACCAAGAAGGTTAAAAGTAAAGAGAAGAAACCATATACACCCTTCCCTCCTCCTCAACAACCTAGTAAGGTAAGATAGCTGCTGGCCTCTTAGGGTAACCATGGGGTAACTTGATTGCTTTCTGTTTCTCTGATTGTATTAGAACTAGGTATTTCCTTGTTTTTACAGTAAGGTGATTGTCCAACACATTGTACCACAGTTTTAGCTTTTAGCTTTAGCTTTTAACTTTAACTTGTATTTGTTTTCGATAGACAATATTAGTTTTATGTAGTATAATCCTGTTTGGCTTAGCTAAATATATTTGCCTTAAGAGCTTGTTATCAAAATCTTAATTTATGAGCCAAATGATCTAGAATCTAATGCTACCTCCACCTGCTTTAAGCGTAAGGAGTTTTGAGCATCAATGAGTGGGAGGGAATTCCAAAATAAATTTTGAAAAAAACCTTGGGTTTTGATGATGGCATTTAGCTGATTCTGTTTTCAAAATGAACTAAAATCTTTTCCTTAGCTTGTCGGATCTTTTGTCAATTATTTAGTTGATTCAATGAGGGGTTTTAGCATGAGCTACATGTAGAGAAAGCCCGAAACATTCTGTGCAAGCCATGGGTTACCATGAGAGCATTTAGATGATTCCGTTTTCCAAATAGATTAAATCTTATTGTTAGCTTTTTGGTTGATCAAATTTGGTCAAACTTATGCAGGTGTGTAAACTAGTGTAAATAGCAATTGGAAATTTATTCTATCTTGAGGGTGAATTTGGAGTCAACAATGAATGGTTGGTTCTTTGCTTTTAGGATTTTTTTTTTTTTTTTAAATTTAATGTTGTTAGAGATTGAACCCTGGTCATTAGAACGAAAAGTTCAGTACTTCACCAACAAGCCACACAGTTGTTGGCTTTTAGCATTCGTTATGTATTAGTTGTTTGAAACAAAAACTCTTCCCATCCCTTTGAACCCTTCAGGTCGTCTTTCTCCTAAACTAAGATAATGATTACTCACTTACTATATGTTAGAACATTAGAATGTAATCAGTATAGCAATTTCTTTTTTTAGCTAAATGTGTTGAATGAGGTCCTTATTTATTTATTTTATTATTGTTATTATCATTTGGATGTTTGTGAAGAACAAACTTACAATGGGACACAATCTCTGGTGTTATCTTCCAGATTGATCAAGAACTTGAATCTGGAGAATACTTCTTGAGTGAGAAAAAGAAATTAGCTAAGAAATGGCAAGAAAAGCAGGAGAAGCAAGCACAGAAAACAGCTGAAAACAAAAGAAAAAGAGAAGAAGCATTTGTACCTCCCAAGGTTCTTTTTTGAAGCCTATATAGGAACACACAAACGCACACATACACCTGTGTTCATCAATTTTTATTATTTTTTATTTGTTTATTTTTAACAATGTTATTTACCTATTGCAGGAACATGTAAAGCAAGATTCCAACAAGTCAGATAATGACAAAGAAGATGTCGCTGCCCTTGCCATGTCATTGAAGGTAATTTTAATCATAGAAAAGATCTTTCTTTTCTATGATATTTGTTAAAATCAGGCATCGTTATAGCCTTGTAGGGAAACTTTTTCTTACAAGGCCCGTCCTTGTTTCTACTGCAGAAGAAGGCGAAGGAGTTTGGGAAGCAAAAATCGTTTCAAAATATCAATGCAGAAGAATATATTGCAGCCCCTGCTGGAGAACAACCTTCAAAAAAGAAAAAGAAATCCAAGCATACCTAGTGTAGGCAAGCGATGTATATCAGGCTAGACAAGTTTATGGTATGACAAAGTTTGCTAAATATGTGGTGGCTCTGCTCAATCCCCTCGCACAGATGTGCTACTGTCAAGAAACAGGCTGATATTGCACTCTTGAGGTCTGCATATACTAGTAAACTCATATATTGAAATTGAGGTATCATTTTCTTCGCATGTGAAGCAGCTTGGTTTCTTGGTTTCTCTTTTAAGTTTTTCTTCTTTTCTCTTACAAAATGGAGAGAAAGCATGGTAAAAAAAAGAACATGGGATCTCAAAAGGAACTCATTTTCATCAAATAACTCTTCTTCACTTCGATCATCTCCCTAACAGCTTCACTAAATTCATTCCCATCTCCCTCCAAATCCAAGCTTCCCACCAATAAATTACCCCTATTCTTTTCAATCGGCCCCTCAACAGGTCTGATAAGGAAAGGGGTTGCACCTCTTGTCAAATACCCTGACTACGGCAACTATAGCATTGGCAAGTACCACAGCCTTATGCTTAATTCTAGAGCCGGAGTCCTCTCCAATGATGATGATTCCAATATTTCTTGTTGTGAATTCATGGAATTCCTCATGTCAACGAGCCCTTGTTTTCCAAAATAAAACTTCCCTTTCTTATATGCATCAGAAATCTGCACTCTATGAAGCATTGGAATTGGATGGTCAAGTAAAATTTGCTTGAATAAATAATGCCTTGTTGAAGAACAAATCAAGCAAGGTATAGTCCATATAACTCGTAGGTTCAGCTCATAATCGGTTAATGTTTCCTCTATGCACTCCCTCGCATTTTGTTGGTAGCAAAAACTTGATGAAAACTTGTTGCTTCTTTCAAAAGATGTTGCTCCAAGAATAATGCAACTCTTTAAGTAGCTCTCAAGCGCTGCTTTCCATTTAAGGAAAGAAGCTCCACTACCTGATCCCAACTCCTCTCCGTGTGATGGAAGCTCTAAATGCAATGATTTTATCTCCTTGAAATTGTTCAAAACCCCATTTGGCTGATAATATGAACTATAAAATGACCTTGTTGCTGCTGACTTCGGATTCGTAATTTGATGGAAACATTTGAGTGGTTTGAGGAACAAGTTATTGACAAGAAGTCTCAAAGTATTCACATATGAAGCAGTGTTTGGTTTGAAGAGGTGTTGGACAGATGGGATTGAGATAAAAATGGTGTTGAAGGGAACAAGGAAAGAGAAACGCTCTGAGACCAAAAGGCATTTGGTAAGAGATTTGGTCTCTTGCAATTTGTTGAAGATGAGAAGAAAAGCACCTGGAAGACAATCAAAATTATCTAAATCTTCCTCTTCTTCTTCTTTTCTTTTTTTTTTTTTTCTTCTGTTGCGAAACTATATCTTCTTCTGTTTTAGAACACGTTGGTTCTGGGAAAGAAAATGAAGCTTAATTTGGATGTGTTCTTTTTGCCATTTCCAAGAGGGTATGATAACTATAAAGGGCATGGGATAACTTTGAAGAGAATTAATATGATTTTGGTGAGCTTTTTAATGAGAAAAAAAAAGGGAGGGAGTACTCGTTCTGACCATGGAATTGCACACGCTTTTAAAGCTACCACAAGCTAAGGAAAGGCATTATTTTAAGACTTTGTTAATTGACGTTCATGCACAATTTCATGTCCACTTTAAGGGGGAAGATATGGCACATTTTACATTTACTTCTTATCTTGTTTAAACTGGAAATGAGATGTATGTGGAAGTCACATGGGTTTTGCCAATAACTGTATGACCTACTGATGGAATATTATACTTTTAATTTCAATAATTAGGATTGATACAACAAGTAATAGAAAAAAAAGCACATGGGTTTTCAATTCAAATAGACAAATCTATTTGCTTTTAGTTTAGGAGATCGTCGCTGCCCAAAGTTGACATAGATAAGAACTTGGCGGCTCTATTCCGTGGCAAACTTTGTCATCGATCATTTTGTAACCAAACATGGTCATAAGAAAACAAATGAACCTAACCTTTTGCTTACTAAATTGTCTATGTTCATTGTTTTATCAAAATGTGCAGTAGCTTTGCGGCCCATGGCAATAAAAGCTACCATCATAACCCTTTGAATAGAAAGATGAGTTGGATATCTAGAACATGTAAAAGCTTTGGGACATAAATAAGTCCAATGCATCGACAGTACAGTAGTAGTTGCCGGTAGCCAATTACACAGCCTGACAGTGTGGTAGGATATAAAGTAGCAACTAGAAAGTACCTTAGATACTAGATCATAAAAAAAGATGCGTCATATTTATGGCCATTTGTGCATTGCCGAAACATGATTTCCACTTTCATACATCTCATTTCATACCTTCCAAAATATGGCCGTAAGTGATTCACTAGACTAACAGAAGCTTGATGTGTCGTTTATAATGTTAATATTTTTTTACTGCTAAACAATATAACCCACCTTTAAATTTCCTGTCAGTGGTTTAAGGCCTTTCTTTTACTTTCTTCTTCCATTTTCTTCTGTCTTTGTTTTTCTGTTGTGTGCCCTCATAAACATTGCAAATTCTTGTTGAGCTTTTTTTTTAAAAAATTTTTTTTTTATAGAAAGGAGGTGAAGATAAAGGAAAGGGTTGTATGTGTTAGGATTTGAATCAATTACTTGCTGAATGCCATATTAAAAGATAATTATATAAACCGACTGAGTTAAGCTCCAAACTCTTAATGTTGAGCCAATTTGATGCTTGACAAAAATAAACATAAATGAAATAGAGCATAATATAGTAACATGTAGTACGGGATTGCGAAAGCTTCAACAGAGGGGAAGCAAAGTAGGGAAACATTTTTTTTTACAGAGTACCCTGACGCAGATAGTAGAAGAAAAGTAATTAAATGGATGGTAGGCTTATCAAATCCTGGAAGGGATCATGGGGATGTTGTTCTGCAGGTATGCACATGCAGCCGCAACGCCACTTCCAAGCTTAACGGGATATCCCACATCTTTGAGTATCATCTCCACACCAGCTAGACAACCCAACAGTTGCAACTGAAAATAGATGAAACAATAAAAGTTAAGACTGTGTTAGAAGGGTAGGAAATTTCAGTGAGTGCAGTCAAGTTTGAAATGTGAATTAAAACCAAGAAGAGCCCAAGTATGTCATGGCAAAAATTTCTGTCAGGAAAGAGCAACTATGAGGTTAGCAGCCCCAACCTACTTGCCCATCCCCCAGTTTTAAACACTTAAATCAACTCGAAACCTATTACACTATGAGATCTCAAGATGCATATCAGCATATGCAGGATTCTTCTACCCCATCGGCCTTTCCTGTTATACACCTGGGATCATTGTGTGCAAAGATGAACCTCAGCACCAGTTCCACTGCAATTTTCAACCATTCACACTCGCCAACAGCCCAGACTACTAGTAATATTTAACATTAGATTACCAGTTTCCATATAATGAGCACCGAAGGAAAACAACTATGGAGAGGACACTCATCTGAGGTGATATATAGTTCAAAATTCTATTCTATTTCAAAATTGATTTTATTGAATACAACATTGAGGCAGGGTTCTAAGTAATTGAAATATTAATTCTACATGACAAGAAACAAGAAAGGACTTTACCTCGTTTAGGTTTCCAAGATGTCCTATTCTGAAGACTTTTCCAGCCACTTTGTTAAGGCCGAGACCTAAGCTCAAATTGTATCTCTTCCATGCCCTTCTAACAATTTCAGTACTATCAATATATGGAGGAACAAGGACAGCAGTCACAGTGTCACTGTACCATTCCTCCTTTTGAGTGCAGTTCTTCAAACCCCAAGCCTCCACAGCAAGCCTGTTTCAAGATTGTGCAACCAACCAAATCAACCACTACAATATTCCCAAAGGGGTAAAGTAAAAGTGACATAGAAGACCTCAAACTAGAACATTTTTGGGCTGTCTTCAACTTGGTGAAATTCAGACATAGAAGAAAGAAAAGCATGGTTCACCTTGTTGCTTTGCCCAGACGGCTATGCCTTGCAATCACATTGTCAAGTCCTTCCTCAAAAATAAGGTCCAGAGCTGCTCTGAGCCCATACAGTAGTTGGATTGAAGGAGTGTATGGCCAAAAGGTTCCCAGTTTGTAGAACTTTAGGTAGTCATTCCAGTCAAAGAAAACTCTAACAGATTTTGAACTTTTGGATGCCTCTAGAGCATTGGGGCTAGCACAAACAATACCAATTCCTGTGGGAAGAGAAAGTGCCTTCTGAGAGCCAGTTAATGCCACATCGACCCCCCATTCATCCATACGGAAATCGAGGGCACAAATTGAGGAAACTCCATCAACAAGAAGTAGTGCTGGGTGCCTATAGTGATCTGAGAAGAAACATAAAGCATGAGAACCATGCTTGAAAATCAAAATTATAATAGACGGCGAAAAGGAATGCATCAGAAACATCATAAGGAGGAAGGTGAAATAAGTTTAATGTACTCTGAATTGTCCACCGCTAAAAGAACATAATGTACGCTTACCAAGTAGTTTTCTCACTGTAGCCAGGTTGTTGGTGACTCCGGTGGCGGTCTCATTGTGGACAATGCAAATAGCCTTGATTGTGTGCGTGTGATCAGCTGCAAGTTTTTCTGCCAGAATGTCAAGGTTAGCACCTTGACCCCAGTCACTTTCAACCGCATCAACATTGAAGTTGAGCCGTTGCTGCTGATCAATCCAGAGCAGACTGAATTGTCCAATTAGGAATGATACAATTCGATCTCCAGGCGACAGGGTATTAGTAAGTGCACTCTCCCATGCACCCGTTCCTGAATACACACAGCAAAATTAACTTCATAAACCAACCGAAACAAGTAAGATACTACTGCTACAAACATACTAATGCATGTGCAATTGATCATATCAATTCCTAGAGCCAAAAGGTTTCCACACATCATCCACAAATAACTCATTTCATATCGTTATACCTTGGTCGTCAGGGTCAACCCTTTGACCGCCAGGTCAGCTCCCGCCAACGCTCGCCAACTACCTAACTGCCTAGACCAGACACGTGGCCAACTACTCACTACTCAAGCAGTATTACGCGCACTATAAAAGGTTAGGTTGGAGCACAGGTATACTATTCTAACCTTTGCATTCACCTTCTAGCTCTCTACTTGCCTCTCTTCATTCTTCACCTCCAACATATTGACTGATTTAAGAGTGCACTCCGGAGTCTTGCATCCGGCGCCCCTGACCATTCCTTTTTTCCAGGTCAGTCCCTAAAACCCCCAGCAAAGCGTCCAGTCATCCTCATCAAAATACCCTCAACACGTATGATTCAAGGAAGATATATTTTAGTTCTCAAGTTGGCCAATCTAAAGTATTACCCTGAGATGGATAACTGAAAACGTGTTAGCATAGTTGAAACCGTGAATACCTGTGGTTGGGATCAAAAAAGGAGTTCCAGTAGTGGTCTTGAAAATCTTTTTGACATCCTCAAGAAGAGTTTTTGTCATTGCAGGAATGGCTGGGGAACGGTAATCCTCATTGTTCCTGTTCATGGCTCGAATAACAGGTTCCGGGATGTTAACCGGACCTGGAACAAAGAGATGGTTCCTTCCTGGTCCATACACATAGTCCATTTTTCTCCCTCCAAGAATGTCACTGATAACTTAAAATTCCACCACTGACGCTTCTCAGCGTCAAAACTTCTCTGATACAAAGAAAAAAAATCACAAATAATAAATTAATCTCTAGTCTCATACAAATACTTGGATTCTACGAGGCTTTTACTAGGTTCATTGGATACTAAAATCACTCTCTTGTTCATTTGATAACATGTAGTTTTCGCTAAAAATTAGTTATTAGCCTAATCAGTCTCAGGAAGAACATCCTTCATGAACTAATTATTTCCCTTTCAATCAAATAGATTACATAAGAAGGAAAAGTTTCATTAAACTAACATAGTGGTATTTGATCGTTAAAAAGCCATGACCACTTGTTCTTCTTCTTCTTCATTTTTCCTTCTTTTGCATACGTCCCATAACTTTCCAAATTCGAAGCATAGAAATACCAACCCTCTTGTGATATTAATCTTTATAAAGATAAGCCCTTATTGTTGTTTCTTGTTATATATATATATATATATACACATATATATATTTATATGTATATATCCTTACTGATCAAATTAGTGCTTCCAAAACTTCAGAAACAGGAAGATAATTGTCAAGACATGAGAAGAAAAAAACTGATAAACAATCAAAAAGAGACCATTCATATCCAACACTGTGAAAGTCCAAAAACATAAGTGGGTAAAGTGCCATACCTCTATACAAAATATTCCTTCGAAATGGAATGAAGTCTATAATGGCAGAGAGAACGATTGCAGGACGCAGCTGCCTTCGTAATATATAAAATCCAACGAGGACTTTGCGTTTTATGAGAGCGCCGGCGGGAGAACCAATCAACACAAATGTGGGTCCTATACGTGGCAGATAAGAGGCAAACCATTTGGAATCCTGCGGCTATGAAACCACTGACCTCATGCATAGGATTTTCACTCACTCAAATGTTTATTTATTTGTTTTTGCATCTAGGGTCCTGTATTTTTTTGTGAATTTCCTTTCAACCCATAGAGCTTAACCTCATGCTTGTTAACCCCTGCCAACGATAAGTTTTCATTTTTCTTAGGGTTTGTTAACTTTTTAGGTAAGATGGTGATCTAAGAGGAGGGGAATTTAATTTTTTAAATTCTTTTCAAACAATGATTTCAAGATAACTGAATAAAGAATTAAATCAATAAACACTTTTGATGAAAATATGATATAATCAATAACAATTAATGAACCTAGAATCAATTATAAACAATAATAAATGTAAGGAGATAGAAATAGAGAAATCAAATACAATGATTTATAAAAGTTCGATCCTTCTCCTCATGGCACCTACATCCTCTATTTTTGGTTGTCCACACCAAGGCTTCAATTCACTAATTGAAGAAAAACTCTTACAAGATACAAACTTATCTTGTATTAAATCCTTATATTTTTCTTAAGGCTTAGATAGCAACCTCTACCTTATATAATTAATAGGATATCTCACCTTTTGCTTACAAGATAACCCAAATAATTTTG